GGTGGGGAGCTGAGGTCGGGGGGGCTGGTCGGATGGGAGGGAGGCTGGGAGAAGAGGCGCTCTAGGAGTGGGGGGGGGGAGGGGGGGGGGGAGGGGGGAGCTGAGGTCGGGGGGCTGGTCGGATGGGGAGGGAGGCTGGGAGAAGAGGCGCTCTAGGAGTGGGGGGGAGGGGAGCTGAGGTCGGGGGGCTGGTCGGGTGGGGAGGGAGGCTGGGAGAAGAGGCGCTCTAGGAGTGGGGGGAGGGGAGCTGAGGTCGGGGGGCTGGTCGGATGGGAGGGAGGCTGGGAGAAGAGGCGCTCTAGGAGTGGGGGGAGGGGAGCTGAGGTCGGGGGCTGGTCGGATGGGAGGGAGGCTGGGAGAAGAGGCGCTCTAGGAGTGGGGGGAGGGGGAGCTGAGGTCGGGGGCTGGTCGGATGGGGAGGGAGGCTGGGAGAAGAGGCGCTCTAGGAGTGGGGGGAGGGGAGCTGAGGTCGGGGGGGCTGGTCGGATGGGAGGGAGGCTGGGAGAAGAGGCGCTCTAGGAGTGGGGGGAGGGGGAGCTGAGGTCGGGGGGCTGGTCGGATGGGAGGGAGGCTGGGAGAAGAGGCGCTCTAGGAGTGGGGGTGAAGGGGGAGCTGAGGTCGGGGGGGCTGGTCGGGTGGGGAGGGAGGCTGGGAGAAGAGGCGCTCTAGGAGTGGGGGGAGGGGAGCTGAGGTCGGGGGGCTGGTCGGATGGGAGGGAGGCTGGGAGAAGAGGCGCTCTAGGAGTGGGGGGAGGGGGGAGCTGAGGTCGGGGGGCTGGTCGGGTGGGGAGGGAGGCTGGGAGAAGAGGCGCTCTAGGAGTGGGGGGAGGGGAGCTGAGGACGGGGGGGCTGGTCGGATGGGAGGGAGGCTGGGAGAAGAGGCGCTCTAGGAGTTGGGGGGGGGGAGCTGAGGTCGGGGGGCTGGTCGGGATGGGGAGGGAGGCTGGGAGAAGAGGCGCTCTAGGAGTTGGGGGAGGGGAGCTGAGGTTGGGGGGGCTGGTCGGATGGGAGGGAGGCTGGGAGAAGAGGCGCTCTAGGAGTGGGGGAGGGGAGCTGAGGTGGGGGGGCTGGTCGGATGGGGAGGGAGTTTGGGAGAAGAGGCACTCTAGGAGTGGGGGTGGGGAGCTGAGGTCGGGGGGCTGGTCGGATGGGAGGGAGGCTGGGAGAAGAGGCGCTCTAGGAGTGGGGGGGGGGAGCTGAGGTTGGGGGGGCTGGTCGGATGGGAGGGAGGCTGGGAGAAGAGGCGCTCTAGGAGTGGGGGAGGGGAGCTGAGGTCGGGGGGCTGGTCGGATGGGGAGGGAGGCTGGGAGAAGAGGCGCTCTAGGAGTGGGGGGAGGGGAGCTGAGGTCGGGGGGCTGGTCGGATGGGAGGGAGGCTGGGAGAAGAGGCGCTCTAGGAGTGGGGGAGGGGGAGCTGAGGTGGGGGGCTGGTCGGGTGGGGAGGGAGGCTGGGAGAAGAGGCGCTCTAGGAGTGGGGGGAGGAGGGAGCTGAGGTTGGGGGACTGGTCGGATGGGGAGGGAGGCTGGGAGAAGAGGCGCTCTAGGAGAGGGGGGAGGGGAGCTGAGGTCGGGGGCTGGTCGGATGGGAGGGAGGCTGGGAGAAGAGGCGCTCTAGGAGTGGGGGGAGGGGGAGCTGAGGTCGGGGGGGCTGGTCGGATGGGGAGGGAGGCTGGGAGAAGAGGCACTCTAGGAGTGGGGGGAAGGGGGAGCTGAGGTCGGGGGGCTGGTCGGGTGGGGAGGGAGGCTGGGAGAAGAGGCGCTCTAGGAGTGGGGGGGGGGGAGCTGAGGTCGGGGGGCTGGTCGGATGGGGAGGGAGGCTGGGAGAAGAGGCGTTCTAGGAGTGGGGGGAGGGGAGCTGAGGTTGGGGGCTGGTCGGGTGGGGAGGGAGTTTGGTAGAAGAGGCACTCTAGGAGTCGGGGGAGGGGAGATGAGGTCGGGGGGCTGGTCGGATGGGGAGGGAGGCTGGGAGAAGAGGCGCTCTAGGAGTGGGGTGAAGGGGAGCTGAGGTCGGGGGGCTGGTCGGATGGGGAGGGAGGCTGGGAGAAGAGGCGCTCTAGGAGTGGGGGGGGGGGAGCTGAGGTCGGGGGGCTGGTCGGATGGGGAGGGAGGCTGGGAGAAGAGGCGCTCTAGGAGTGGGGGAGGGGAGCTGAGGTCGGGGGGCTGGTCGGATGGGAGGGAGGCTGGGAGAAGAGGCGCTCTAGGAGTGGGGGGGGGGAGCTGAGGTCAGGGGGGCTGGTCGGATGGGGAGGGAGGCTGGGAGAAGAGGCGCTCTAGGAGTGGGGGGAGGGGGGAGCTGAGGTCGGGGGGCTGTTCGGATGGGGAGGGAGGCTGGGAGAAGAGGCGCTCTAGGAGTGGGGGGGGAGCTGAGGACGGGGGCTGGTCGGATGGGTAGGGAGGCTTGGAGAAGAGGCGCTCTAGGAGTGGGGGGAGGGGAGCGCTGAGGTGGGGGGGCTGGTCGGATGGGGAGGGAGGCTGGGAGAAGAGGCGCTCTAGGGGGAGGGGGGAGCTGAGGTCAGGGGGGCTGGTCGGGTCTGGAGGGAGGCTGGGAGAAGAGGCACTCTAGGAGTCGGGGGGAGGGGAACGCTGAGGTCGGGGGGGCTGGTCGGGTGGGGAGGGAGTTTGGGAGAAGAGGCACTCTAGGAGTGGGGGGGAGGGGAGCTGAGGTTGGGGGGCTGGTCGGGTGGGGAGGGAGTTTGGGAGAAGAGGCACTCTAGGAGTGGGGGGAGGGGAGCTGAGGTCGGGGGGCCGGTCGGATGGGGAGGGAGGCTGGGAGAAGAGGCGCTCTAGGAGTGGGGGGAGGGGGGAGCTGAGGTCGGGGGGCTGGTCGGATGGGGAGGGAGGCTGGGAGAAGAGGCACTCTAGGAGTGGGGGTCGGATGGGGCTGGTCGGGTGGGGAGGGAGGCTGGGAGAAGAGGCACTCTCGGAGTGGGGGGAGGGGGGAGCTGAGGTGGGGGGGGGTCTGGTCGGCACCCTCTGGAGAGGGAGATCTCTGAGTTGGAACCTGGGGAATGGGGGGAGGGGCTTAAAAGTGGGGAGGAAGCTGAGGTCTTGAAGGGGGGGGATACAGGGGTCACCTGAGGGGAGGGGGAGCTGGGAGGCCTGTGAGGGAGGAAGTTGATTTGCGTTGCGGGGGTGGGGCATGGGAGTGTGAGGAAAATGGGGGATTTGAGGGGGAGTTGAGAGGTGGGTTTTGGGAGTGTTGCAGGGGTAAGTTCGGATGGGGAATAAGGGGGAGATGAAGTGGGGGGGAGGCCCCGGGGGGTCCTGAGTGGTAGAGATCTTGGGGTGGGGGAGGTGAGGAGACAATTGGAAGGGGATGGGGAGCTGTGGCCCCTGAGAGGTCTGGGGGGCAAGAGGATCAGAGGGGTGGGGAGTGGAATCTAAGGGAAGCACTAAGATGGGGGAAGCCCCTGGCAAGGGGGAGGTTGGAGGACGGGGATTGTGGGGGAGAGAGGCCCTGGGGGCATGGGAACCCAAGGGGGCAGATCTGAGGGAAGCCCTATTGCAGATGTTGGCCGGGGGGTGGGCACACTGAAGTAGGAAAAGCCTGTGGGGTGAGGGTGCTCTCGGTTGTGTTGGGTTGGGGAAGGGCCTATGCCAGTGGGGGGGAGCTGCCGAGCAGACGGGGTGGGGCGCAGGGCAAGGGTGATGTGTGGGCCCTGGGTTTAAGGATCCGGGCAGGGCTGTGAGGGTGGGGGCTTGGAGGGGAGCATTATACCAGGTGGCATCCCTGGAGCTCGCAGGGGGCATCAAGGTAAAAGCAGGAGTGGACTCTGTCCCCTTCATTTCTTGGCTTTGGTGCCAGTCTGGGGTGTGAGCCCTGGGCACTTCCCGCTGCCCGCCAGCTCCCTGGGGGCTCAGATGGCATGTCCCAGTCTCCCCCTGCCCTCTTACTGGGTACCTGCTGTAGGCTGACTTCACTTAACCCCTTGGTGGTGGTAGCAGAGTTAGTGGCACAGTTACACCTGCTTTGGCTCCTGCCATAGGGCATGCCCCGACCTGAGATCTGGTGTCCTGTAGGGAGAGGCTGCAGGCACTATAGTGGTGGTGGGTGGGGGGCTGGGAGTCAGAGCTCCTGGGTTCTGTCCTGGTACTTGGAGGGGAGTGGGGTCTGGTCAGTTAGAGCAGGGGGGCTCGCAGTCTGGACTCCTCAGTTCTGTTTCCGGCTCTGGAAGTGGGTGTGCTCTATAATGATGGTAGGGGGTGAGGCTGGGAGTTAGGAATCCTGGATTCTTTTTTGGCTCTGCCACTGATCTGCTGCATAGCTTTGCCTCTTTGCCACTTTGTGCCTCAGTTTTCTCACACCTAAAGTGGGGATGACAATGGGGCTGGCTAGGTTAGATTTTTGGATGAAAGGGGCTGTAGAAGAGCGAGCTGTTGTTATCAAAGGGGACCCTGTTGTAACCACCCTTTGGTCCTGCATTACAGCTTCCAGGCTTAGATAGTAACTCACTTCTCTTCGGAAACGGCTGCTTTACAAAATTCAGAGCTGGACTCTGGCGCGCTCTCTAATACCAGAGGCCTGATTTGGAGTTTCATGCTGCAGCCCATCACTGTAGTGCTATCTTATCTTATTTATCAGCCTGCCCTTCTCAGCATCTGGCTTGAGAGAGTTAGATCAGGTCTCAGATGCCAGATCGTGAAATAACTTTTAACCTGGGTTTCATTTTTGTCTTTTGAATCTCTTAATTTAAAAAATTTTTTTTTGCTGGTAGACAAGTTGATTGGAAACTCTAATATCATACAGGAGCTTGGAATTGAACCCAGGAGTCCTGCCTTCCAGCCCTCCCTGTCTAACCCACTGGATCTCACTCCCCTTCCAGATGTGGGGATAGAACCCAGGAGTCCTGACTCCAGTACAGTTGCCCTCTCACACGATAGGGCACCACCGTTTGTATGTTCTGGATGCAACCTCTGTAATACACAGCATAAGCCCCCCCTTACCCCCTTTCCTCTTTATTCCTCTGAGGCTTAACCCCCATTTCTTTTGCTTCCCTCTCAGTTCTTCGAGGCCCCACTCTGCGTTATGGACTAAACATCTGCCCCATTGCATTGGAAAGAAGCCTGCCGCATTTACAGACACACGTCTTCTTTCCTTGCTATCAAGAGCACAAAACAAATCATCCATAACAGGTACGATTTCATACCTATCTCCTACCGATCTGGATTCGATTTTCAGGGCTGGGTTGAGGCACACTGGTGGGGTCAGGGGAATTCTAGTGCTCCCGGCTTGAGGGAATCAGGGTGGGTGGGTGATACTGCCCCCTGCTGGAGGAATTGAAGCTCTGTGGGTGTGTGGCTCTGTCTCCTGCTGGAGAGAATTGAGGGTTTGTGCGTGTATGTATGGGTAATGTTGCCCCCTGCTGGCAGGAATCAGGGTTCTGTACCTGTGCTCTCCCTCCCGCTGCCCTGGGGATGCACAGACACCTTCCTTCCCAAGGGGCAGGAGTGGGTGTTGCCCTGTCTGATCACGCCTAGCATATCCTGTGTAGGATGGTATTCAAACAAGGCACTGTTTACGAAGGCATCTTGCAGTGCTGGACTGGTTTGCACATCTGCATTCATGTAGCGGTGCCCCATGGGATCGGGGTGGGGGCATCTGTGCGGCTTCCAGAACGCTGGGGGAACCCAGACCTTGATCAAGGTGGGGGTCTGTGAGGCACCCAGCACAACAATAGCCTCCCCTCTCTGTTCTGGCCTTCTCTGTTTAGGCTGTGAGCTGTCTCTCCCTGTATGTCTGCATGGCACCTATGCGATGGGAGTCCATGATCTTCATTGAGGGGTGGGGTCTGTGCAGCACCCAGCCCAGTGGCAGAGACCCTCCAGTCCTGGATGGGGCTCTCCACATGCTATCTCAATATACATGATAAAGTTTCTGTAAGTGAAGCTCAGATCTGCTACGCTGGGTTGCATCACTTGGTAAAACTAATATGGGCTTTCCTGGTGGTATTGATGGCTCCACGGGAACTCTGGAAAATTCCCCAAGGGGGTCCTGCCCCACCCCCAGCCTTCCAGGAAATCCTCAGTTGGTTGCTGTCACAGATGTGACATTATAGTGCCAGGCATATTTAATATACAAACATGGGTGGGGGAGTATCATGAAGAACAGCTGAGCTGTTTTCCTGCACAATTCCTAAGAGGCAGGAAATGGACAGAAAATTCTGATCTTTAGGGGGGTTGTGGAACAGGGAGTTGAGGGGTTCAGGATGAAAATCAGGGCGCACCACTAGCTACACGCATTGAAACAGAAGCTCTGCTCTTTCTATGGTCCCCACGCTAGCCTTGGAGTGCTGGTAACAACCCAGATCTCTAAACAGATCCCCATTAAGCTCTGTGGGGATTGGGTTGGTTTACCTTGCCAGTGCCCAGATTATACCCACAGTGCGCACTCAGTCTCCAGATCTGACGTATACATTTGTATCTGACTCTTTACAGCTGCTATAAGGGCAGGGCTGATTGTGGATGGAAAAAGCAGGGTGATCTAGTTCCTTTGAACTTCTACCGCTCCCCTCAGCACGTGTATAACTCATTAACTCTGTCTTGGTGTCCAGTGTGTTGAGATGAACACGTAGATCTGAAAGGACTCTGTCCTCCCCATCCCACTTGGTATCGTCTGCCCCACTGCCAGTTTGGCTTCAAAGCGTGCAGTGTTTGTGGGTACATGTGAAGGTGTAGCTCTGTGTGTCACAACTTTCCTGGGCACATTCCAACGTGTCCAATTACATTTTGCCCTCCTGACAGTCCTCTTGCAATTTCATGAGGACATGGGATTTTTCTACACTTTCTGTCCTAAATTATGCACTGTTACCCTGCTGCCCTATCCCAGAGATGGCTGAAATGCAGTGCCAGACAAGTGATTTCTATGTGGTGTGGCTGTTATCCAATTGCCCCGCCCCAGAGATGGCTCCATCTGAGCGCCAGGCAAGCCATCCCAATACAGCGCCACTGTGCAGCTGTTATCCAGTTGCTCCACCCCAGAGGTGGCTGCATCTCTGTGCCAAGCGAACCATCCTTGTGGGACATTGCTGTACGGCAGCGACAGCCACCTCTGGGCTGGGGTAGCTGAGTTTCTCAATGCTGGGCTAGAGATCTCTGTGTTCCCCAGCTGCCCTGACCCAGAGGTGGCTGCGTCTCAACAGTAGGTGAGGCATCACTGTGCAGCTGTTACCTAGCTACCTGTCCACAGAGGCAACTGCATCTCAGTGCCAGGCGATGTCTGTATAGGCAAACTCTTTGTGGTGAAATTTAAGGGACTAATAGGCATGTTTGTAACCCACCCACCAGTTCCAAGGCAGGCAGTTGCTGTAATTGCATCTATCCACAAGAGCCCCAGTTTACAGGTAGAGGAAAGGGACCAGATTCCCCGGGCTCCTGCAAGCGAGCTGATGTCACCTGGGCCAGGGAGGGGAAGTTAGAGACTGTTTGCTATCCCGTGCTAGCCTTGAAGCCAGAGACTAGGAAAAGCCTAGACTGATGAGAACTGGTCCATCTTGCTCGTCCCCCACTGGCTGTTCCCCCAGCAGAGATGGAGTTACCCCATCCAGGCCCTCCTCACCCGGGGTGGAATCGTCCCCCACAGATTATTATCCAGGGCTCTTAATTTCTGGTCTCCAAAGTGAGGAGGTTCCTGTCCTTTCCCGTGAGAGAGATGAGAACATCACTTATTAGACTCCTCTCTCATGGGAAATATTTCCTAAGGCTTGACCTAAATTTTCCTGAATTTCCTTGTTGCTTCTAGTTCTCTTTTCCCACCCTAAAGAATTTCCCCCCACGCTTGGCTTTGATGCTGTTCAAACACCGATTGACAGTAATTATGAACCTGCTGCTTAACTCAGCTCGCCGTGGTTAACTGCATGGCTGGTGGGTCTGGCTCACCAGATTCATGGTCTGGAAGGAATTTCCCCCGGGTCAGACCTGCAGGGACCTTGGAGTGGGGCTGGGGGGGTTGCCTCCATCTGCAGCACAGGGTATGGATCACCTGATGAGATCATCTGTGCATGACTCACCTAATCAATTCCCTGCCGTTTTAGAGGACTCAGTGTCCCACCCCCATCCCTGCCACCCTAAATCAGACGCAGGGGCCCATCTAGCCTGGTATCCTTCCCCTTTCTGACCACCCCAGATCAGACTCAAGGGCCCATTTAGCCCAGCATTATTACCCCCTCAGCCTTTCCTGTTTTCACAATGGCTGAGTCTAGAATCTGCACAGACCTAAAGTTTAAGCCTGACTCAAACCGGATCCAAGCCCATGAGGATTGAGTTGTTTTCCCGCCTATGCCAGCCCTTCCCGCTGAACCTGCGTGCCCTGCTTCTGCTAGCTTGGGGTTCCTCAGCACACGCACTCTGCAGTGTGCACAGTGCAGCGAGGTGGCGGGCAGCCAGCAGGAACAGGGCATGCAGTCTCCTTCGCGCCAACCCTGTGGACAGGAGGAGAGCTGGTCCGACCTGAACCCGAGAGGGGCCAGTTGTTTTCCCACCTGATCTGGACCCAGCACTTGTAGTTGGGTAGAAGGGCTATAGTTTAGCCTCCCGAGGACTTGGTCTAACCCAAGTCAGTGGGCTCAGCACAGGGGGACCTGGGTGAAACTGACTGATCCATGCTATTCAAGAGGTCAGACTAGATGATCTAATGGGACTTTTTGGCCTGGAACTCTCTGAAATTCTTCCAGGCTTCCCCAGTAACCCTGGCAAACCTTGTCTCGATAGCCTAGTTGGTCTCCAGCTTGCTGGGATCGAGGGGCCCTCCTGGTTGTGTGTTTGTGGGGGTGTGTCTGGTGGAGTGGATAGAGAGGCGCTTTCCTCTCTGGACCTGGAGGCTTCTGGGATTGCGGGAGATGCGAGCAGCGTGGCAGAGCAATCCCAGAGGTGGCCAGCAGGGGGTACTGTGTGTGTGTGTCTGTACTACATGGCTGATAGTGGTTTTTCTCCTCTCTATCTCCCTCTCAGTTTAAATGAGTCATAATGGATCAGGAAAGTGGGGGTGACATCCAGAAAGCCCCCAACTTCCAGTGGAGAAGCTACAAGCTCGTCATTGACCCGGCGCTGCGGCGGGCCCCGCAGAAAGTCTACCGCTACGATGGAGTCCACTTCAGTGCTCCCGTGAGTCCAGGCATGGGTGGCAGTGGGGATTCACTGCGTGATTTGGGGGGCTGGGGGCTTGCCAACAAAGAAAAGGTAGCCTTCTTCTCTCCCCTTCTGCCTGGGGCAGTATCTGGTGCTAGCCCACTGCATAGGCCCACCGTGGACAACACTTGCTCACCTCTTACTGTGGGCTTATACATCAGAGCAGTGGAGGCTGGGAGCCAGGACTCGTGGGTTCTATCCCCAGCTCTGGGAGGGGAGTGGGGTCTAATGAGTTAGAGCAAGTTAAGGCTAGGGGTCAGGACTCCTGGGCTCTATTTCCCTGCTTCTGTCTCATTGTGTAACTTAGGGCACGTCCCTCCCTGTGCTCTGTGCCTCAGTTTCTTCATGTGTAAAATAGGGTGAAAGCTTGGTGGGTGGGTTTGTGAGGGTCACTAATTGCTCTGGATAAAGCACAGTGGGTCTACTTGTGAAAAGGGCTGCTGAACCACAAAGTGTTCTCACCTGCTGTCATGTCATATTGTGGCTAAGTTGTAAACCACGGGGTGGTAGGTGGTGCTATGCATATCAAGTCCTGTTCCTCCATTTCCTCATCCTGAATGCGCGTGTGTTTCTGATGTACCTTGCTGCCCTGCACCAGGGACGCCCGTTGAAGCCAATAAAACACCAAGGGTGGGTGATGAGTTGTAAAAACCTTTTGCAGATCTCGGGAGGAGAAGTGCTCCCATAATGTCTGTTAAATTCCACATGGTGTTGCCCTACCGTGCCTCAGTTTCCCCTTCCGTTTGTCATTTTCCGGCTCCCAGCAGCTCCCCAAAGTCCACCTCCTTTTGGGGTATAAACCAGCGATTCAAACACTCTCAAACCCAGCCTTGCCCTTCCTCTCGGAGGCTCTGTTTTCATTTGCCAGTCAGTCGGCTCCCAGGCCTCTGCTCACTCCCTTCAGCCTCCCCCATTAGCAATGATTGCTGCACCCTCATGTGAAGTGGCACCCACGCTGTCCCTGGGGGCCCTAAATAACTGGGCTATCTTCTTGCCAATCCATACTGTCCCGTTTCCCAGGACCTCTTTCTATGCTCCCAGCCCTATTTAGAGAGTGTGTCTCCCAGCTGTCCTCTCCCTAGCATCACACTTGGTTTCGCACCCTCTTATTGAGCTGCAGGCCATGGTGGTTTTCCCTGTGGGCCTGGTCTTTGTCACCTGGCCCTTTGGGACATGGAGGGCCATGCACAACCCCTGGTATATGGCACAGGAGGCATGGGGGGCGGGCACAGAGCCCCTGCTATTGGTGGGGATGGGGGAGAGACAGCCGTGGTAAGGGGAAGAGAGGAATGTGGGACACAGAACCCCTGACATCAGAGGAATGTGGGGACATGGGATACAAAGAGCCTCTTGGGTATTGGGGACATACCTGGCCTCTGGCATAGGAAGATGGGGGCGGGGGAGAGAACACAGCCCTGGTGGTGGGGGGTTGCAGGGAGTCCCTGAAATATGGGGGATGAAAGGGGAATATCCAGGGATCTCGGTGGGGGCCGGGATCTAGGGATGCCAGGAGCCCCTAAAGTGGGCATTGTGCTTGGCTGACAGAAGCTACGAAGTGGGTGACACTCCTGTTGTTTATGTCACTGTAACCTTTAGGAGCCCAGTCATGGACCAGGTGGCCGTTGTGCCAGGGGCTGTCTGTTATTTATTAGGTATATTATGGTAGTGCCTAGGAGCCCAGTCCTGGCCCAAGACCCCATCGTGCTAGGCATTGGGCAGACATAACAGTCCCTGCCTCATAGAGCTGCCAAACTAAGTACGAGACAGGTGACAACAGGTGACTCTAGACAGAGACCTGGCAGATTAGGAAAACGTTGAGCCAATAAACGTTTTGTTTGGCATTAGCACTACATAGCCCCACTCCTGGATCAGCATCATGCCCCTGGCACTAGGTGCTGTACCATCCTCTCACTCGCTTTGCATTCAAACCTGCCTCAGATTTGTGTGTGACTATCCAATATTACACAGAAAAGGATGTTTAATTGAAAGATTTTAAAAAGTAAAATCTAACATTTTTCCATGGCTGGTGCCCCCTTCTGGCTTGGCATGGCAGTGGCTCTTCCTCAGTTTCCCTCCTAGTCTCCAGCTGATCCGCTTAGCCTCCGATGCCTTCCACATTGTGGTGGGGTAGTCCTCTGGCAAGATCAGGGTTACCCAAAGTCCCAAATTAACTCTTCCATCACACCTGGGCTCTGTAGAGTACCAAGGAAGTCAGTGCTCTGCCCTGTCTGGGCTCATGCCGCCCCAAGTCCATCATTGGCATCCAAACGAGGCAGTCCTCTTGGCAGGCCTGCCTTTCTGCAGTTCCTAGCCCCTGCTAGCCCCTGTGTTCCTAGCCCCAGCTGCTATCATCTGCATGGACAAAGTGACAGTGAGAATCTGTCACTGCTGGGCTGGCTTGTGGCACTGACTTGGCTAGAATGGACTAGGGCTTAACTTCTGCCTCTGTTTGCTAACCTCAGGACTATCAGATGCTGTAGCCAGGTGACTAGTAAATTACTTGGTTTTGAAAAGGCTGTCTGTGTTGCTGCAAATACTGACTGGGAGCCTTGCACCCTGGAGGGACCCCAGGGTGGATTTGATTTAAATCATGATTTAAATCACTAGTCAGGAAGACTCGATTTAATCATGGATTTCTACATAAAAGTGCATTCTTGTTGGTTGTTACCAACCTCAAGATGCTGCATGTTCTTTTTATCATCTTCAACGCAGCTTCCTCCTGAGAAGGAACACTTCTCATGATGTTGTTTCATTCGGGCAATTATGCCTTTGTTGCACTGTTTGCATTTTGTATGCATGCCTGTCTTACCCACAGGTAGAGAAACTTCATTAAAATATTCCCAAACTTGGGTCTCTCTTACGGCCTGCTGCCATTATAGGTTTTTCCTTCTAGTGAGAGAATGATATGGTAGATCTCAAATCAATGAAGGCTACACTCAGAAAGACCTCAAGACTTCTGGAATATGCTGCTCAAAGAGTTTCACTTTTGTTTCTGCTGCCTGTCCCTCCTTTCTCACATTTATCTCCAGACTTCTTCTCCTTGTCCAGATCTATTTTGCCCCCCAGAAATCTTCTATTCATTGAACTTTTTGAAAGTTTGCACTTTTAGAGAGAGGTAAGGGATTGACTCTGTACACAAATTTGCAGAGGGACAATAAGATTGAGGTCTGTTATTTCTCACCTCTAAATAAATAAATATATTTTTAAAATATTTTTTGCTGTTAACAAGCATGTTATCTCTGGAGACACAAATCCTCAGTTTGAGAACTGCAAAACTAAGCATCTCTGATGGTATCTTATAGACTGAGCACTGAGTCCCATTGGATCGATAGAAAGATTAACCTAAATAATCTATACAGAAGCACCTGGAACCCCATAAGATTGGTTCCCTAATCCATGAACTATTGGAACTCATTTGCAAAACTTTTCTTAAACATTACATGAATATATTGTCTCATACTATAGAATTAGAATTTTTAATCCCTATTCCGTGATGAGATCTCTTTGATCTATAATGCATCTTAATTAAAACTATCTTTAGATAGGTTTTTTTCCTCAAAAAGCATTTTAGCAAAACAATCCGATTTAGATCAAATAAATTTGATTTTTTTTTAATTTTATTTTTTAAAAAAACCATTGATTTTTATCCACCCTGAGGGCCCAGTACCAGCCTCCCACAGGCTGGATTTGCTGCAGGGAGCCATGAAGAGAGCGTGGGATTGTTGATGCCAAAGGCCCACTCATGGAGAACATGGGCCTGCCACCATGGAACTTTGTGAACCTGTGGGGTTTGGCCCTGTAAAAGGGTCACTCCCAAGGGATTAGTCACAGGCTGGGACATAGACCAGACCGTGTGGATCTCTGACACATTTTCTTAGGCTATATAAACCCTGATATATCAGGCAGATGCCAATTTCTGCTTGCCTCAGGTGAGGAAGAAACACAATCCCTAGGCTCTCATCATCTCGTCTGGATCGTTGCAGTGTCCTCTTCTCTGGCCTTGACAAATGCGGTCTTGCCTTGCTCGTATGCATTCAGAATGCTGCTGCAAAGATAGTTCTTCAAGCCCATCGCTTTACCTGTGTCACCCCTCACTTTGCATCCCTACACTAGCTCCCCCTTCTCCATTGCATCACAGTTAAGCTGCTTGTCTTCCCTTCCACGGCTGGTCCCCACCCAATCTGTCCTGTCTCATTTGCTTTTAAGATGTCTGCCTATGGCCGCCGCTGCTCACTTGTGATGTTTTTAAACAGGCACTTTTGTGCTTTCTCCCGGGCTACCCCTGCTGTCTGTGAGGAGCTGCGCACGAACAGCTGCAAAGCTACCCCATTGTCCTTAAAATCCCTCCTCAAAATTCTCCGTTGTCGTGATGCTGACAAAAAGGTGTGCTGGGCTCACCACCCTGGCTCAGTGTACTCCCCCATCTGCTTGTCTTTCTGTCTTCACCTGTTGTCTCTTGTCTTATACTTAGATCATAAGCTCTCTGGGGCAGGGAGCATCTTTTTGTTCTGTGTTTTTTTTTCAGCACCTAGTACAGTGGGGTCCTGGGCCATGATTCTGGCTTTTAGGTCCTACCACAATATAGACCTATCAGCAGGTTACCCCATAATTCTATCTCACAGGGTTTTTTTATTTAGATTTATATAAATGGCAAGTGGCATGACTTAAAAACTCATCGCACAGATCTCTGTGCAGCAGCAGAATTGAGCAGAACCCACTGCCAGTCTCCCAGATCCTTTTCTCTAAAGCTTGTGAGAGACAGGATCCCAGGCTAGATGTGATCCAGAGAGACAGGGAGTGGGCAGGATGCTGATCTAGATGGGCCCATGGGTCTGACCCATGGTGACACAGAAAGGGCAGGAAACCAGGCTAGATGGGCCCATGGATCTGATCGAGTCTGTCTGTTCCAATATGCCTGTCCCCCCACAGCTGAAACTCAGCGGTCTTGTGCAGTTTATTCTTAAGATTTTCTTTCCCCCCCATGGCAACCCTTTATCCCTAGGTGGTTACCAATGTCCAAAGAGATAAGACTTTGCTACAGGTTTCAAACAAAATGCGTAATTAGAAACATAATTGCCACCACAGATTGGACCCATGGGTCCATCTAGCCTGATATTTTGCTCCCCATCCCTGCCCCGCCCAGATCAGACCTCTGGGCCCATTTAGCTTGGTATCCTGCCCTTGCCATGCCACCCTGGATTAGGCTCATGGGCCCATCTAGTCTGATATCACACCTTCTCCCTTCCACCCTGGATCAAACCTATGGGCCAGTCTAACTTAGTATCCCTCTTGCCCTGGATCAGACACATGGGCCCATCTAGATCACCTGCCCCCATCCCTGCTGCCCCAGATCAAACCTGTGGGCCCATATAGGTTGGTATCCCACTTACTCAGATCAGACCTATGTGCCCATTTAGCCTGGTGTCCTGCCACCTCAGATCAGACGGACAGTCCATCTAGGTTTCTATTCCTTCTCCGACAGTAGCCAGCACCAACTGCTTCAGAGGAAGGGGACAATTCTGGAATAACCTGCCCCTTTGGGCAAATTTCTTTCTAGCCCCCATCAGAGCTTGCACCCTCTTGCACGAGGGTTTATATCCCATGCAAAACTCCTGTCTCTTTGATATTTACCGCTACAACCATGGATCTTCTCATTATCCTCAGAAAAGTCCTGGCCTCCTTAGAATTTTGCTTAGCTCTTGGCCCCAAAGCAGTGAATTCCACAGGCTAACTGTGCATTGCATCAAAATCTCTGCCTAAAGAAACACTGTATATCTAAAAGCTCCCTCAGTCAAATCCCCCCCACATATATATTATGTACAGGGTATATGATAATACATATAATCGTGGGATGGGAATAGATTGTACAATATATAATCTGAGCAATCAGAGCCTATATTTAGATATAATCTATCCCCGGACTGTGTGTATTTATATAATATAACATATTGGAGTAGAGGATAGATTATATACATGTGGTATCTGACTGCTGAGATCCCATATGTAAAGAACAGTATCTCCCCTATAGATTATATATGTTTAGAGAGAGCACTCCTACCCCTTCCCAGCCTTCCTTTGATTGCTTTATGTCTGGTCAGTTTCACTCCCTTCCTTGACAGTCCCTTTCCCCTGCTGTTGTTTTGTTGGGGTCTTTCCCAGAGCAGCAGGGAGGGGAGAGAAACTTGTTTATAAAGTGTAGATTTTTAACAGTGAGAGTAATTAACCATTGGAACAATTCAGCAGGGGTCGTGGTGGATTCCCCATCAATGACCATTTTAAAATCAAGGTTGGATAGCTTTTCTAAAAGATCTGCTCTAGGAATTGTTTGGGAGAAGTTCTATGGCCTGTGTTACAAAGGAGGTCAGACTAGATGATCACAATGATCTCTTCTGGAATCTATGAATATACATAGCACAGTTGGAAATCACATAACCTAGCAATCTGATTCCAGTTCCTCTGTGAAACCACTTCTGAAATTGACGAGTTCAAGTTGCTCATGGCAGCCAGTAGGAATAACAATAACCATAGCTAACCTCAGATAAAAACCCTTGATTAAGCTGACCTATCACCTTCCCCAGAGCCCTTCATAAGAGAATGAGCCCTGCGTGCTGGAGCTGAGAACTTGACTTCTCTAGATTAGGGCTCTGATTTTGTCTCTGTGAAACAAATATTAGCCCCTAGAGATCGCAGGATGCCAATCGAGAACACAGCTGTCCTTCTATAGTGTGAGAAGAGTGCTATATGAAAATAAAACCATGTTAAAACAAATGCAGAGAAATCCACCACATGGGGAAAGGAAAGGAGTAACAATCTGTAAGTAGGCTTAGCAGAATTCAGTTTTTCTTCTTGTATAATTATGATGGATAATATCCATGTTTCTTTTAAAGCAGCTCTTTTGATTTTTATCAATTTAGATTTTCACAGTTGCAGGTAAAGTTATGGGGGGATGGAACAATAATTATTTAATGACCGCAGACACTGACATTCAAAAAGTTCAAGGTTTATAACCATTCAAACACACATTGTCAGCATCCCATGTCAAAAAAAACCTCTCAAGCAGCATTTTTCTTACTTTGCCTAGATGTAAATTTCAATTATTATTGAAGGAAATATTTTTTGTCAGTTTGTGTGCGTACAGCGAAAACAACGTTTACAGATAAAAATCTAATCGCCGCGAACCTTGCTGTAAGTATCTCCTTTGGGAACAAACATTTGATAATGGGCCCTGCAATCCAGCAAACGAAGGTCTAACACAATCCAGTGGCTGGATGTGGAAGCCAGACACAGTCAGACTGGAAATCAGGTGTAAGTGAGGGGAATTCACTGTTGGAAAAATTTACCAGTTGGTAAATTGGTAGATTCTCCATCCCTGGCATTTTAAAACGAAGATTGAATGTTATGGTAGCATGGCCTAGTGAGTACAGCATTGGGCTGGGATTCTGGAGACCTGAGTTACTGCCACTGGCTTGTTGGGTAACCCTGGGCAAGTCACTGTCTTCCACTGTGATTCAGTTTCCCCTTCTGTAAAATGGAGTTAGTGAGCCTGACTTCCTTTGTAAAGTGTTCTGAGATTTATGAGAGTGTGTGACTTAAGAGCTAGGGGTGATTATTGTATGCTCTTGTTCAAACATGAATGCTGTCTTGTGTCCTAGACAATCCAGAGAATGGGAACTGAACTCAGGAGTCCTGACTGCCAGCCCCCTGTTCTAACCACTAGCCCCCACTCTGCTCCCAGAGCCAGGGATAAAATCTGGGAGTCCTAATACCCATGTCTTTCTGGTCCAGGTACCCACTGAGGTCCTTTGCAAGGTAACCTTCAGCTAACCTTTCTTCCTCCCGCCCCAGGATTCAGGATATACTCCTGTGGGTGACGTACGAGACCCCCGGCCACGCAGGATATGGTCCAAGCACAGAGACCTGTCGCTCCCTGTTCCCAAGTTCAAGGTAAGCAGGGCGGGGTTTGCCTGGTCTCAGCTCTCCCTGGAGCGTCCCAGCTCCCTAGCATGACAGCAAGCTCCCCTCTGCCGCTCCCTGAGCCAGCCCCAGGGACCCTACTGCAGCGGCTCTCAGTGAGCTGCTAATCCTTCAGCTAGGCCATTCCCATCTGGATGTGTGCTGGGATCTAGCCAACTTCCAGAGCCTTTTGGCCACTGGGGGCTGCTGTGTAGTGAAGAGGGGTAGGTGGGATTCTCCCCACATGGGCCTGCGTTGGAGCCAGTGCCCCCTAGAGGGGAAAGGCCCTGTGTCCCATTCCCTACCCCTGAGCCAGCCAGTCCCCAACACTGGAGCTGGATGGGAACCAGCGTCTCCTAGAGGGGAAAAGGCCCTGTGTCCCATTCCCCACCACTTGAGCCAGCCAGTCAGTCCCTCTGCCCTGGTGCTGGATCACAGCTGGTGCCCCCTAGGTGGGAAGGGGCCCATTCCCCCTGCCTGGAGGCCGATGGGGGTCAGTGTGTGTGGGTGCTGATCTTTCCCCTCTCCCTGGTGGCAGCTGGATGAGTTCTACATTGGGCAGATCCCGCTGAAGGAGGTGACCTTCGCCCGGCTGAATGACAACATCAAGGAGCCCTTCCTGGCCGAGATGTGCAAGAAGTATGGGGAGATCGAGGAGATCGAGATTCTCTACAACCCCAAGAACCGCAAGCATCTGGGCCTGGCCAAGGTGCTTTTCACCAGCACCCGTGGAGCCAAGGAGACTGTCAAGAACCTGCATAACACCTCGGTCATGGGCAACATCATCCACGCCCAGCTGGACATCAAAGGTACCAACCTCACCTTGGAGCCCTTCCCTCCCCTCTCCTTGGGCCCCATGCTCCCCATTGTGGTTCATTCCTTTCCCTGTGGGTCAGTTCCCCAGCTGGTGCAAATCACTGTCGCTCCTTAAAAGCCAATGGGAATGAAGACAATGTAGCAGTGTTGGGGGCTCAGTAGGGGGTGCTCTTCCCTCAGTCCCCCAGCTGGGGATCTAGGCCCTTAACTGGCAACAGGATGCCGACAACTTTCTAAGGAAAGTGGCTGAAACCTCTCCGGTCAAAGACCTGCCACGTGGCAGGGGTGGCTGCGCTCGCAGAAGGGGTGAGGGGTAGGGGACCCTTAGGCTCCGTTCGGAATGCAGGAGTGCATCTGGTTCCTGCAGGCATTCAGAGCCTGCATCTGGTCTGACCTCCTGGATAACCCAGGCCCACAGCTCCTGTCAGCTAGAGCAGATCTTGTCACCCTCCAGTCACCTGGGAAGCGTCCTCCGCAGGAGGTGTCTTGTATTTTAAATACCTCCCCATTGGGGTCAGAGAGTGCTTCTCGTCTCCGACCCCTGGCATCTCCCCATTGGGACTGGTTTTCTCTGCTGGGATCCTGTGGTAGCTGGCTCCTCTTTGTGTGATAACAGAGGGAAATCCCAAATCGGACCCTTGCATCCGTTGCGTGTCATCGTTTCAGGCCAGAAGGGACCAACGGATCATCTAATCTGGCCTCCTGTATGACCCAGGCTGGTGGTTTGTGCCCGTACACCCCTATACGGAGCCCAGAGACTTTAGACTGAAGCAGCTCAGTCTTCAGGAAACTAAACTGTGCCCCAGGGATTGATCAAGGGGGCAGCCATAGGGGCAGCCGAGAACAGACGGCCAGCAGGGTGACCCAGCTTAAGCCCCAGCTTCCTTCTGGGGGAAGCTGCTGGGACGAAGAATGGCCGGTTGCTGCCGCCTTTCACTCATCCTTGTGCCATCCCCATTCCATAAAGGACCCCAGATGTGCCAGGACTCTGTATCGGGCTGGCTTCCTGTTCCCCTAAGAGTCCCACTCTGTTTTTCCACCTCCCGGATATGCTGCGATCGCCGCTTAGCTGAGCCGTTCTGTCAGCAAACTGGAAAAATGGGGTGGGTGCCATTTAGTGGTATTCGATGTCGCTGTTGTGCTCTGCCCCAGGAGCGGCTGCATTGTGAATCACCGACTAGAATTACCAAGCCTGACCTTTTCTCTCAAATGTGTTCTCTCCCTGCCCCTACAGGACAGCAGCGGATGAAGTACTATGAGCTGATCGTCAACGGCTCCTACACCCCTCAGACTGTTCCCACCGGGGGCAAATCTCTGAGCGAGAAATTCCCAGCGCCTGTGACCCAGGCTGAGACGGTACAGGAGGCTGGCGGGGTGGGCTGGGAGCCAGGCTCTTACTCCACGTCTCAAATTCAGGCACCGATGGCCATGTTTAGGATTGGGAATAAGTAGCCTGACTTGTCAGAGCTACAAACTGTTCTCCAGCTGCCCAAGAGGTGGCTGCATCTCAGCTCCAGGCAAGCCATCCCTGTGCAGCGTTGTGTGTAGCCATTATCCTGCTGCATCGCCCCAGAGCTGGCTGCATCTCACTGCCAGGTGAGCCATCCCCATGTGGCGCTGCTGTGCAGCTGTCCTTCAGGTGCTCCTGTCCAGGGGTGCCTGCATCTGAGTGCCTGGCGAGCCACCCCTGTGCAGTGCTGTGTGTGGCTGTTCCCCAGCTGCCCTGCCCCAGAGGTGGCTGCATCTCAGAGCCAGGCGAGCCATCCCCATGCGGTGTCGCTGTGTGGCGGTTCCCAGCTGCCCCGCCCCAGAGGTGGCTGCATCTCAGAGCCGGGCGAGCCACCCCCATGCGGTGTCGCTGTGTGGCGGTTCCCAGCTGCCCCGCCCCAGAGGTGGCTGCATCTCAGAGCCGGGCGAGCCATCCCCATGCGGTGTCGCTGTGTAGCGGTCCCCAGCTGCCCCGCCCCAGAGGTGGCTGCATCTCAGAGCCGGGCGAGCCATCCCCATGCGGTGTTGCTGTGTGGCGGTTCCCAGCTGCCCCGCCCCAGATGTCTTTAAACTTCTTTTCCTTCCTCCTGTAGTCAGAGTCCCGACGGCGCCAGTCCACCGACTCCTCCTACTCAGCCAGCACTGTGGGTTCGACGCCCGGCAATGGGACCCCTTGCTCTCAGGACACCCCATACTCCAGTGCTCGCCAGGACACCCCCTCGTTCTATGGTCAGTTTACCCCCCAGTCGTCCCAGGGGACCCCGCACACCCCCCGAGGAGGAACGCCGTATTCCCAAGACTCGGCCTACTCCAGCAGGTACCTGCTCTGCACTCTCTGCTGGACCTACCGCTCAGCTTCCCTGCTCCATTGACGCTCACTCCAAGCAGCTGGGCTGGAGCTGAGCCTGGATGGGAGACTGAGAGGGTGCTGCAGGGAGTGGGGCAGGGGCTCAGTGGTGGGTGCTTTCCCCGGCAGTCAGTTCCAGGCCCCAATGCCCCAGTGTGGCACTAGGGGGCACTGTGCTGCAGGGAGCAGGGCAGGGGCTCAGTAGGGGCCGCTCCCCCCGGCAGTCAGTGCTGGCCCCTGCGTGACACTAGGGGGCGCTGTGTTGCAGGGAAGGGAGTCAGCAGGGTGCGCTCTCCCCTGGCGGTCAGTGCAGTGCTAGGGGGCAGGGCCTCAGTAGGGGCCGCTCTCCTTTGGCAGTCAGGGCTGGCCTCGGTATCTCAGTGCTGGATGAGCCGGCGTTGTGTGTGGCTGTGGTCCAGCTGCCCCTACCCAGCAGTGGCTGCAGCTCGGTGTGAGCAGCGGTGGGTCTAACAGCTGTTCCTGCAGTGCCCGGATTTCACTGCCTGGGTCTTTCCTCCCCCATCTCCTAGGCAAGGCACGCCCAGCTACTCCAGCTATCACCCGGAGCCGACCTCCTACAAGTCCCGCAGGCATGAGAACAGCTACCCGGAGTCGTATTCCCGCCGACACTACTCTGCCTCCGCCGCCGCCTCCTCCTCCTCCTCCTCCACAGCTGCCGCCACCGCCTCCTCCTCGCACTACCGCCCCAATGACCCCCACTACTCGCCCTACAACCAGCAGTACGAGGGGGCAGGCGGTCGCTACCAGCGCCGTCACTCCTCCGAGGGACGCTCCTCCTCCCACCACTCCTCCTCTTCCTCCGCCCACCGCTCCCACCAAAGAGAGGACTCCACTTATCAGTCCCGGCACCGGGAGCGCCCCCAGCGGGACGATCCCACCCCTGCTGCTTCTTCCTCTTCCTCCTCCTCCTCCTCTTCTTCCTCTTCCTCCTCCTCCTCCTCCTCTTCTTCTTCCTCTTCCTCCTCCTCCTCCTCCGCTTCCACCACGGCAGCTTCTTACCCCGTGGCTCCAGCCACGCCGGATGGGACCCTCTTCCAGAACAGCCACAGCTTCGGCCAGCAAGGGGAGTCCTTCGCAACCCCTAGTGCCATCTACCCTCCCTACCCGGCCCCCCTGGAGCCCTTCCCGCTACCCCCGGAGCCACACCCCTGTGATCAGGATTACCGGCTGCTGCCCACGGCTGAGACCTTTGCTGCCAACTCCCTGCCCCCCACGGAATTTCTGGCTCAGGAAAGCAAGGAAGAGCCCAGCCCTGCGGCTGCCAGCGCTGAAGATCAGGCCCAGTCGCCGGCCCCCCAGGCCTCGCCGGCCCGTTTGGGCTCCCCGGCACCAGAGACCACCAATGAGAGCGTCCCATTTGCCCACCACAGCAGCCTGGATTCACGCATTGAGATGCTGCTGAAGGAGCAGAGGTCCAAGTTCTCCTTCCTCAATTCAGACACTGAGGAAGACGAGGAGGAAGGGGGCAAGGCGGGGGCAAAGGGGGCAGAACCGCATGGGCCCTGCACCCCGCCCCCACCCCTGCCTGTCAGCTTTGAGGATGTGGTACCAGTTCCGGACGCCGGGGTAGAGTCGCCTAAGGCCAACGGGCAGGACAGGGTGAGATGCTGCTTCTGGGGTCTGGGAGGGGGTGGGGTCTAGCGCATTAGAGGGCGGGGGAAGGGGGGCGCTGGGAGTCAGGACTCCTGGGTTCTATCAGCAATTGTGGGAGGGGAGTGGGATCTAGTGGGTTAGAGCAGTGGGGCTGGGATCCAGGGCTTGTGGGGATGATGTGGGTTTGGAGAGGGAGGAGAGGGGTGGGATTGGAGGGTGGGGTGGGGGTGGGAGTGCTGCGGGAGGGGGCGGCGGGTGTCTGGGTAGGACAGGGCCTGTTGCTGGAACAGGGGGGGGGCGTGTCATAACCCCGCCTCCTTCCCCAGGCCTCCCAGCAGTCATCGGGCGAGGACATGGAGATCTCGGAGGAGGAGGCGGAGGAGGAGCCCACGGGGTCGGCGCCGGCCGATCCACACTTCCCGGTGCTGCCTGCGGGCCTCGGCCACCTCCCGCTGGGTGTCTCGGCCTTCGCCCACCCGCCGGAGCCGCCCCCTACCTACCCACTGCAGCCCCTCATGTCAGTCTCCCTGCCCCACCTGACGGGCGAGGCCGACTACCCCCAGGCCCCACCGCCCCACCACCTGCAGGCGCCGGGCCTCCCGGACTACGGGGCGCAGGCAGGCACGGCGGGCACAGGACCCGGGGCGGCTGCTCCCCCCCACATCTATGACTTCGTTAACTCCCTGGAGCTGATGAACCGGCTGGGCAACCAGTGGGGCGGGATGCCCATGTCCTTCCAGATGCAGACCCAGATGCTGAGCCGGCTGCACCAGCTGCGACAGGGCAAGGGGCAGTTCGAAGAGCCCTTCCCCTACCATCAGGAGGCAGCGTTCGCCAGCCACCCACTCTATGGGCACTACCTGCTGGAGCAGGACAGCCGCCACTTCCCGAGAGACCAGCTTTTCCTGCAGCAGCCGGCCAGCGCCGAGGAGCCACCGCCCGGCTCGGAGCAGCCCCCGCCTCCGCCGCCCCCGTCACAACCGCAGCGACTGCTGGACTACCGGGCAGCGACGTGGGGCTACCAGGAGGAGGCGCCCTGCGACCCACATGCCTCCACTGTGGACAGCGTCCTGGCCACCCTAACGCAGGAGATGAAGAGCATCATGCAGCGTGACCTCAATCGCAAGATGGTGGAGAATGTGGCCTTCAGCACCTTCGACAAGTGGTGGGAGCGCAAGGAGCAGAAAGCCAAGGTGAGAGCCAGGAGCCCCCCACTATTGGAGCTGTGGGGCCTCCCCAGCCTCCAGCCCGTTGTGAGTTGGAGCAGTGGGCACCCCCAACCTCCAGCCCTGGTATCTCTCCACCAACCCCCTGGAAATCAGAGCACTGACCGCTCCCCCGCACCCTACCGCCAGCCTACTGGGTGGTGCAGGAGTGTGCCTCTCCATCCCCGCAGCCATGAGCCCCTCCAGCCCTTTTATCTCCCTCCCGCTTCCCCATTTCCAGACGCTGAGGGCGTGCCCCCACCCCTCACTGTGTCAAGCCACTGGTTGGCACTGTTCCTGACTCAGGCCTTGTCGGAAAGGGGGGTGGGTTCCATTTTCAGAGTGGGGGCTGGAAGTCAGGATGTGCCTGGATTCTATTCCACCCTTGGGAGGGCAGAGGGTCTGGTGGGTTTGAATGGGGGCTGGGCCTGGGAGTGAGGACTCCTGGGTTCAATTCCCAGCTCTGGGAGGGGAGTGGGGTCTAGTGGGTTAGAGCAGGGGAGCTGGGTTCAATGTGCATTTCTGCACCCCGTGCCGTTCCCAAGGCAGAACTCAGCCCCCCCGGCATGGGGCCTTGTCACGTGGCTCTTGGCAGAGTTATAATAGGGTGTCCTGGCTTCAGCCCTTCCAAAACGCAGCCAAGCAACAGGCCAAGGAGGAGGAGAAGGAGAAAACCAAACTCAAAGATCCGGCCCTGCTGTCCTTGGTCGACTGGGCCAAGAGCGGCGGCACCGTCAGCCTCGAGGGCTTCAGCTTCGGAACCGGCCTCCGTGGGGCACTCAGGCTCCCATCCTTCAAGGTAAATGTACCTCAGCTGCCTGGGAATGGACATGGGGCCTTTCCCCTTTGGGGGACGCTGGCTCTCATCTGGTCCCAGGGCGTGGGACTGGCTGGCTGATGGGGGGGTGGGGAATGGACATGGGGCCTTTCCCCTTTGGGGGACGCTGGCTCTCATCTGGTCCCAGGGCGTGGGACTGGCTGGCTGATGGGGGGGTGGGGAATGGACATGGGGCCTTTCCCCTTTGGGGGACGCTGGCTCTCATCTGGTCCCAGGGCGTGGGGGTGGGATGGACATGGGGCCTTTCCCCTCAAGGGGGCGCCTGCTCTTAGCCTGTCAACTCCGCAAGCTGCTCCTGTCCCTGGCAGCCAGTGTGCTCTTTGTAGGTGAAAAGGAAAGAGCCTTCTGAGATCTCGGAGAGCAGTGAAGAGACGCGACCCCGGCCTTCCACTCCCGCAGAGGAGGAGGAGGAGGATGGTGAGCAGTCTCTTATGAGCGGTGTCAGTGGGACTGGGAGTTCTATCCCCGGCCCTGGGAGGGGGGTGGCAGTTTAGTGGGTGAGAGTGGGGAGCCTCGATTCTCTCCCTACCTTTGGGACGGCAGTGGGGTCTTGTGGGTTAGAGTGGAGGGGCTTTGAGCCAGAACAGCTGGGTTCTATCCCCAGCACTGGGAGGGGAGCTGGTTCTAGTGGGTTAAAATAGTGGGGGCTGGGAGCCAGGACTCCTGGATTCTGTCCCTGGCCCTGGGAGGAGAGTGGGTCTGGTGGGTTAGAGTAGTTGGCTTGGAGCCAGGACTCCTGGGATCTTTCCCCAGCTCTGGGAGGGCAGTGGGCTCTAGTGGATTGGAGAAGGGGGCCGGAGGGGTGGTGGGGGGCGGGCTGGCTGGCTGGCAGCCAGCAGGACTCCTGGGTCCATCTCCCTGTAAATGTTCCCTGCCCTTGCCCCTCACAGACAAGGAGGCTGCTCAAGGACCAAAGGGATCCAAGCGGGATGAAGAGTGGATCAAGGGGCCGGGCAAGCGCCGGAAGCTCTTCTGCCTGGACAGCGAAGGGGAAGAGACCTCTGAGGAGTCATCCTCGGAGAAGGTGAGAGTAGCCACCACTTCTAGCCCATCTCCAGCAGTCTGTTCCCCGGCACAGGTGGAGACCCCCTGTCCGGGCCCATCTTCTCTGCGTGTAATCCCTTCCCCGTCTGTCTGCCTCAGTTTCCCCTCCCCATTTGAAGACTCCATCTCCCAGATAAGTTGAGGGTGGTTTGCCTGGGGGTCAGAGAGCCCCCAAAGGTAAAAAATTCTCCCAGCCTTTCCAGAACCCCAAGAGCTCTCTCCATGTGCCCTACTTTATCCTTTCAAGGAGGAGGAAGATGACGAGCCGGATGAAGAGGAGGAGGAGGAAGAGCAGCGGCAGGAGGAGGAAGAGGAGGATGCAGCACACAGCGACAAGGAAGAGGAATCAGAAGGTAAAAGAACTGGGATCTTTCCCATTGTTGGCACTAGGGGGCGCTGCGCTGCAGGGGGCGAGGCAGGGCTCAGCAGGGGGCGCTCAGCCCTGACAGTCAGTGCTGGCCCCGGTGCCCAGTGTTAACAGCACATAAAGATCCGTCTTTCAGGTGAGGCAGAGACCAGGCCTCTGACGTTCGATGGTGATCAAAAGTCCTGGATCCTCTTCAGCAAGGGTCGGAGCACGAACCCCGGTGTGCTGGCCAGATCCGCTTGCTGCGCTCTGGCTCCCTCCATCCCCCCTGTGCATCCAGCCCAACGCAGAACTCTCCATCGCTTCCCCCCGAAAGATTGAATGTTTGTGTGGGGCTGTTACCCAGCTGCCCTCCAGCACTGGGCGAGCCACCCCCATGTGGTAGCACTGTTCCTCAGCTGCCGCGCATCCCTGTGCAGAGTTACTGTGCGGCTGTTCCCAGCTGCTCCTCCCCAGAGGTGGCTGCATCTCAGCACGGGGAGAGCCATCCCTGTGCAGTCACTGTGCGGCTGTTCCCAGCTGCCCTGCCCCAGAGGTGGCTGCATCGCGGCAATAGATCGCTATACAGTGGAGACTGAGCTGCCCTTTGCTTTGCCTAGAAGCAGCAGAGAGCGAGGACTCCTCTATATACTCCCTCTACGAGGAATCAGACGAAGACAGCGACAGCGCTTCGGACTCTGAGAGCAGCTCGTCCTCCTCCTCCTCCTCCTCGGACGAAGCGGAGAACACCATGGACGAGTCCACCATGGACAGCTGCCCCGTGGAGCCAGCAGGGAAGGAGAGCAAAGCTGCGTCCTTGGCAGGCACGGAACTGGAGAAGGTCAAAGAGGCCACGCTAGGTACATAACCAATTACATCCATCCCCTCAGGAAGGGCAGCATCGTTCCCAACCGTCTGCTTCCCGGCAGAGATGGAGAGACCCCATCCGGGCCCATCTCACCTGCCTCCACCCAGGGCAGGGTTTTCCCCGACCTTGGTAGAGATGGAGACGCCCCATTTGGGCCCATCTCGCCCATGCCCACCCGGGGCAGGGTCGTCCCCAGCCGTCTGCTCCCTGGCAGAGATGGAGATGCCCCGTCTGGCAGGAGCGGAGGGTGAGAGTACGTTGTTGGAGATCAGGGATATCATGCCATGTGTCGGGGCCCACGGTCGGCAGGATGGGGGCCCTGTCGGGAAAGGGTTGAGCTGACAAAGGCTCTTCCGGCTGAGGCCTGTGGTGGGAGGCACTGAAGTGGGCTGCAGGACGGGCCAGGCCAGGAGGCAGTGAGGGGCCCTGGGTTCCATCTCGGTGTGTGGTTGGGGGGGTCTCTAACCCCCGTGATCTCCCTCCTCACAGAGCCCGCAGCGGAGCAGAAAGCCGCCCCCCCCGGAGGAGCGTGAGGCTGAGCTGACTCCCCGCCCCTCCTCGCCCATCCCCCTCCTGCCACCCCCCAAGAAGCGCCGGAAAACAGTCTCCTTCTCAGCCCCTGGCGAGGAGGAGGTGGCCAAGGCGGGGGCAGAGAAGGTGGCCGAAGCAGCCCCGCCCCCGCTTCCCCTTCCTCCCCCGCCCCCTGCCGAGGAGCTAGCGTCCCCCCCGGTAGTGCCTGTGGAACCCGCCTCGCCAATGCCCCAAGTGCCCTTAGCGCAGGACACCCCCCGCCCTGCCACGCCGCCCCCTGCCCCCAAGCCTCCCTTCAGTGGGGGGCGTAAGCGGGAGCCCCCCAAAGCCAGCCCAAGAACCATCAGCAACCTGCCGGCCGACCACGCCTCGCTGGTGAAGTGCTGGGCCGAGGAGCCACCTGCCGGCAGCCGCCGTCGCTCCCGTTCCCGCTCCTCAGAGCCCCCCCGGCCCCTGGCCAGCGGGGAGGCTGAGCGGCTGCGGCTTCGGGAGCAGCTGGGCGCCTCGTCCCTCCTGGAGCTGGCCAACCAGCCCGAGGCGGGCGGCGTGGACCTGGCCGTGCTGGCAGACATCGCCCTGAAGATGCCCATTGGCTGCGCCAAAGAGGAGGCTGAGGATTCGGAGGGCACGGAGACGTCCGATGAGGCGGAGGAGCAGTCGCCCCCCCGCGCCCTGCCTGCACCCCGAGACAACAGCATCCTCCTGGAGCACAACTACGCCATGGCTGTGAGAGCAGCACCGCCAGCTCCCCGGAGAGCAGCCAAGGCCGAGGAGGAGGCCCCGGGCCCAGCTGAGCTGCTGCGGGTGGATCTCTTCGGAGGGCACGTCGGGGAGGTGCTGGAGGCGCCGGAGGAGGTGGTGGCGGAGGCCAGCGAGGCCAAGGCTGAGCCCGAGGTGGGCGCCCTCCTGGCACTGGCTGGGGAGGAGCGGGCCAGGAGGAAGCGACACCGAGACAAAGAGGAGGCACCGGACTCCCCGGCCTCGGAGCCCTGCCCCTCGGAGAGCGAAGAAGAGGAGGAGGAGAGCGAGGACGCTGACGCTGGCGAGACACGCCGACGGACGCTGCGCTCCCACTCGCACAAGCCCTGGCCTCAGCCCCTTCCCTCCTTCGAGACCCGCAGCGAGTTCGAGCAGATGACCATCCTCTACGACATCTGGAACTCGGGACTGGACGTGGAGGACATGCACTACCTGAAACTCACCTACGAGCGCCTGCTGCAGGAGGACAACAGCACCGACTGGCTCAACGACACCCACTGGGTGCACCACACCAATATCCTTACTGTGGAGCCTCTGGGGGGGCGCTGGCTCCCATCCCATCCCAGGTGGGGTGGAGGGGGGCTGGCAATGGGACACGGGACCTTTCCCCTCTAGGGGGTGCTGGCTCCCATCCCGTTCAGCACGGGGCTGGAGGTGGGGAAGGTGACGGGGAGCGGGGGGGGGTTCCCCTCTGGGGGCGCTGGCTCCCATAAGGCCCCAGAGGTTTAGCAGTCAGCTGAATGCCTGGTGTCCTAGAGAACATGAGATTGCGGGATCTGTACCCTGTGGCCTGAGCGGTTGGCATCCCTGTCTGCCCCTGTTGGCACAGCCTGATGCTGCCAGCCCGAGAGAGGCTGAACAGCCCCATGGATCCTGTCCCGTGGAGGGGATGAGGAGTCTGGGCATGTTGGTCTCTCCCAGCCGGCCTTTTCCTTAACCTCTGCCCCCACTCACCAACATTGCCAACCCCAAGCGGAAGCGGAAGTCGTCGGACCTGCGGGAGCACCAGACTGGCTGTGCCCGCAGCGAAGGCTACTACCCCATCAGCAAAAAGGAGAAGGACAAATATCTCGACGTGTGTCCTGTGACGGCACAGGAGCTGGAGGTGATGGACACGCAGGTATCAGGAGCGTCCCCGGCAGCCTGAGCCCCTGGCAGAGATGGAGACGCCCTGGGGGGCCCATCTCCACTTGGGGCAGGATTGTCCCTGACTGCCTGTTCCCCTGGCAGAAATGGAGACGCCCCAGTCGGGCCCATCTCGCTTGTCCCCACCCAGGGCTGAATCATCCCCGATCGCCTGTTCCCCTTGCAGACTTGGAGAGTGGGTGGGGGCGTCGGTGGTGTGATCCCTTTTGCGGGGACAGATGCTCTAACCCCCTCTCCCGCCGTCTCCCAGGGCACCAACCGCATCCTGTCGGAGCGGAGGTCGGAGCAGCGGCGCTTGCTCAGCGCCATCGGCTCCTCCGCCATCCTGGACAGCGACTTGCTGAAGCTCAATCAGCTCAAGGTACGTGCTCAGCTCTGCGGATCCTCGGTGGGGCATGTGGGGCAGGACCGGCTTCCCTGGCTACAGAAGGGCAGAGGATGTCTTGGGAGGCACTGACCCCAATGCACTAGGGGGCCCTGTGCTGCAGGGAGGGGGGTGGAGGGCTCAGCAGGGGACGCTCTCCCCTGGCGGTCAGTCCTGGCCCCCTTGCCCACTGCGGCTCTAGGGGTGCTGTGCAGCAGGGTGTGGGGCAGCAGTTCGGTGCAGGGACATGACTGCCCCTAAGACCAGTGTGTCCCAGTCACACCAGTACCGTAACCCTCCTGTCCCCCCTTGCTCCAGTTCCGTAAGAAGAAGCTGCGGTTTGGCCGGAGCCGTATCCATGAGTGGGGCCTGTTCGCCATGGAGCCGATCGCTGCCGATGAGATGGTGATTGAGTATGTGGGGCAGAACATCCGGCAGGTGAGTCCGGGGGTGGGAGTCCTATCGGTGCCAGGCTCTGTGTGTGTGTGGGGGGGTGAAATTGACAAGGGTCTGTCCCCCAGTTGCCCTACCCAGAGGTGGCTGCATCTCGGCACCGGGTGAGCCATCCGTGTGCAGTGCAGCTCTTCTCCAGCTGCCCCTCCCCAGAGCTGGCTGCAATGCGGTGCCAGGCGAGCCGTCGGTGTGCAGCTGTTCCCGCAGGGCTCAGTGGCAGGCTGTGGGCAGTGCATGGCCCAGGCTCTCGGTGTCTTCACCGCTATCCCCCTGCCTGCAGGTGGTGGCCGACATGCGGGAGAAGCGCTACGTGCAGGAGGGCATCGGCAGCAGCTACCTGTTCCGCGTCGACCACGACACCATCATCGATGCCACCAAGTGCGGCAACCTGGCCCGCTTCATCAACCACTGCTGCACGGTGAGGGGACGGGGCTGCTGGCTTCTCACCCGGGCCGGGGGGGCACCCGTGGGCTCAGGGAGTGGGGACAGGGCTGCTGGCTTCTCATGCTGGGGGAGCATCTGTGGGCTCAAGGAAAGGGGACAGAGCTGCAGGCTTCATTCCCTGAGGCGGGCGCCTGTGGGTTCAAGAGGGGGGACAGAGCTGCTGGGCTTCTTGCCCTGAGTGGGGGCACACGTGGACTCAGGGAGGGGGGACCAGGCTGCTGGCTTCTCACCCTGCGGGGGTGCCTGTGGGCTCAGGGAGGGGCCTCAGTGGCTGTCGAGTCGGTGTGAGGGCATCTGTGCTCCAGGTTGTTCCTCATCCCCTCCCTCTCCACCCAGGCCCGGATCTGGTGGCTTCATAAGAGTCTGTACACAGAGCCCTGGGTAGGGGTCGGAGCCGCTGGGCCGGGCTCCCTCTGTTCCTGGATTTGATCATCCACCCATCCAGGCTCTGTCTGCTTCCACCCGTCCCTCCCTCCCAGTTCTCTGTCCGCCCCTCCGTCCCCTCGCTTGTCTCCAAGCTTGGTCTGTCAGTCTGGGCCACCCTGCTTATATGGTGCCGCTTTACAGCTGGGGAAGCCAAGGCCCGGAGAGATGCAGCGACTCTGCGTTCACACAGGGAGTCAGTGGCAGAGCAGGATTGATCCCCAATCTCCTGGGTCCCTGCTCTCCGTAGCCTGTGTACCGATGAGAGCAGGGCTCAAGGGCGCTGGGGTGGGCTCTCCATATCCCCTCGGGAGGGCCCTCCCAGCTGGGGCGGGTGTGGATAACGTGGCTGTAGCTCACCCTACTCCCTGTATCCCTCAGCCCAACTGCTACGCCAAAGTGATCACCATAGAGGCTCAGAAGAAGATCGTCATCTATTCCAAGCAGCCCATCAGCGTCAACGAGGAGATCACCTACGACTACAAGTTCCCCATCGAGGAGAACAAGATTCCCTGCCTGTGCGGCACCGAGAACTGCCGCGGCACCCTGAACTGAGAGCCGTATTTATTGTGTTCCCTGCCCCGTCCTCCGGCGCCTTATGAGCTCCACGTGGCTTGGTAATGGGGCCCGCGGCCAGTCGGTTCTCTGCCGGGATCCACCCTCCCCCTGGGGAAGCCAGGTCCGGATTCAGGTTGCCTTTAGTGATCCCCGACCACCCTGCAGATTGGCTCCAGAGCCAATGTTGACAGCATTTTGGCAGGAGCTGAGTTGGAAGCAGCTTTTCCCAGGCAAGACTCGTTCCTTCCCCGCCCATGACTCCCAGCATGCAGATCTGCTTAGGACCAGGGGCGCTTGACCCAAATCCCCAGGATGCTTTGGGGGCAGCAGAGCAGAGTGTGTGCTGGGAGCGGAGCTGCCCTCTTTCCAACGCAGTTGGGAGTTTTGCGTTGCATTTATATTCCCTGCCTCTGAAGAGGAATTCGGGTCCTTGCCTGCAGGACCCCTCCCTTCTCCCCTGTCCTCCTGCTTGATGGACACCTGTCGCCACCCAGTTGTCAGGGGAAGGGAGCCGAGCATGGTGGGAAATGCCGTGGTCTTGCCATGGTCAGTACGCAAGCAGCTGAAAGCGCCAGCTGTGTATCTAATCATCCAAGGGGTCGGAGTCCAAAGCATTAGAGCCTGAAGCAGACTCTTCCTGTCCCCCCATCTGTTTGTCCCTGCTGCTCTTCCCACCCAGTCCCCCACCCGCACCAGGTAGCTCCCGAGCGCCCTCTACAGAGGGGGAGGATCTGTTTAGCATGGTCGGGTTTTTACTGTTCTGTTCCCCCTCTCATCAATTTTATAACAGGTGCCACTCCTGATTCACTTCACAATGATCACAGCCTTCACCCTTTGATTGCAGTGCCTCGCAAAGTCCCGCGCCCCTTTAGCATTAATGTCCTGATATTTCTTTCCCCTCTAAAGGGGGAGAAATCTTTCCTCTGGACAAAACAAAACAATACCCAGTCCCCTCTCAAATATAACAGAACCAATCAAATCACTTCATCTCCGTATCCTGCTGCCAATCAGTGTGTGCCCCTCCCCCCCGACATATTAAAAAAAATAAAAACACAAATAGATAATAATAAAGGGGCTGGATTCTCCTCTCGCTCACCCCAGTGTCGCTCGGGCAGAGCGTATCTCCAGCGTAAGCCGAGACCAGAATCAAGACCCCCTGTTAATTTTTCTTTAGGAGAAGAAAGTTGTGTATATATTCCAGATGGACTGGCTGTTTCTTGTAGAAACACACAAAAGTTATTGGTATGTAAATATTCTTTTTATTATTTTTTTTCCCTCTTCCTACTAAAAAAGAAAGAAAATGGTTGTAAATAACAGCTCTCTTTTTCCCCTCGCCCCAATTTAATTTCCTTCGAGGGAAAGTTTGCTTTATTATCCCTGGGGTGAAAGCAGAAAGCCCTTTATGGATGGGCACTGGAGAAAATATAGTTTGAGTTGCTTTTTTTATGGGAGTCGGTTCTGAAAGACGGGAAAACAGGAAATCTGGCTCCATATCCACAAGCCAATCTTGCCCCAACTTTTGTGGTGTCGTTCGCGCGTCTCAACCCGACGCTGGTTGGGATTATGGCTCTGTTTTCAAAAGATGAATGCTTCCCCCCAGTAGATTTGTCAAGGTGGCTGGACTGTCCAGGGTCCAATCTATGAGATGTTGATTTGCCTTCCACTCTGTGTTTTGATGGGATTTGGTTTGGGAAAGCAGTTAAATTCCTGTCCCTGTTTCTGAGCTTTGAGCTGTTCTGTCCTAAAGCGTAAATCACCAAATCTTGTTTGTTGTTGCATCTGCCTTTTCGAGGTTTGGATTATCCATACCTACAGTTCCTTCCCCAGATTCTCTTCTCGTTAAGTTTTGCATTCACCTTTCCAAGGTTCAGATTATCCATGTATCCATCCGCAAATTCTCTTCTCTCATCCACAGGGCCGATCTAGACGCCAATACATTTGCCCTTCCTATACGGGACTCCAAGGTGTAAAGCCAGAGCTGAGATCGACAGCCAAATTGTAACCCTTAGCACTGTTCTCCTTTGCCAGCCAAGTGTCCACTTTTCCAAACTGGCTAGTGATTTTTGGGTTGGCTAGCTCGAGATCCCACACAAATATCTGGCTTCCAGGGGGAAGATAGTCAGCATTTCCTGAAAGTCAGGCCCCTTTCAGGTGTCAGTGTGGGCACCCCTGAAATGGCAGTGTCTGAAGAATCAAGGCTGTTCTTTCCTCAAGTCTGCTTCGAAAGCTTTTTGTCTTGAGCGCAAATCTTTCTCCTGATGGCAGTCCGAAGGCCTCAACATCTCATGAGATCGAACCGCTGAACCTTGGCTGTTGGAAACCTTCCTGGCTTTGATTGGAAACTGCTTTGTTTCTACCATCACATCGCTATGCTGGGAAAACACACTGGTCTTTCTGGCAGCTGCTGTCCCTGTCCCTTGGAGAGTTTTTAGCAAATGAAATTGAACTGGGTAACGGTTCATCTGAGATGGGCAGTGGGAGAATCTTGAGGTAAATCCAGAGTGACTCCACTGAGTTCTGCAGGGCTATGGCCAAATTCTGATCCCAGTCACACCAGTCTGAACCTGGAGAGTCTCCATTAAAGTTACTCCAGATTTCCTCTGGTGTAAAAACTTTTGTTGGAATCAGTGGAATTGATTGCAGATTCACACTTGGCATCAGCAGATTCACTCTGGATTTACTCCTGGAGCAGAATCTGCCCCTTCCTGTAGAGTGACATTTGTGACAAATTTATTTCTCGCTGAATCGTAACTGAGCGTGTGTCTTGTCCAAACTCCACCCTGTGCACAATGAAGACGTCTAAACCTGCCGTTCCCCCTGCAACTCGCTAGGTAGAAATACATCAGCCATGGGCTATAGACTCGAACCTCTAAACCCACTGAAACTGGCAGTTTCCTCTGTGTATTTTTTAATTCAACTTTAATACAGTGCCTAACTTTTCCTCCCAATGAGATCATCTTGGACATCAATTTTCCCTCTTGGGCGCGGAGGAGAAGACAAGATAAGGCCTGTTTTTAAAACCTTACACTCATGTGTCCCCTCTTCCGAGCGGGCTCTAAGCCAGAAAGCAATCTCTGTAGGGCCGTGATACGCGGCATTTAACATGTGCCTAACAACTCAGAACTCCCCCAATTTGAAGCTGGTTTACCAATATTTAAACCCACCAGCTCCTTGTTTGATTTTTTTTAACCGTTTCTGTCTGCAATGGTTTGTAACTTGCCTCATTTTCTCAACACTGATTTTAATCTCTGGGCTCACTTCTAGCTTTTGGTGTCGGAGTAAATGTTTTTGCCAATCTGGCTCCACACGTGTGTGGGGAAAATGGGGACCTCCTGTCAGCTCAGAAAGCAAGATTTCAGGCCCTTGCTCTGGAATATGTATATTCGTCAAGGCTTTTAGGCTAGTCTCTGAAACTTTTCAAAGCTACCTTGGTCACTTAGAGACCCACAGGATTTAGAGACAGGTCCAGATTCTCGACGGTATATAGACGTCTAACTCTGTTGCCTTCAGTGTGTATGGGCCACAGCTCCTGTGTCTCGTTGGATCTCAGCGAGCCCTGCGTCTTTCCAAAGACGAGACTGAGCTTCAATGATAAATGGGAGTCGGGTTTCTAAATCGCCCTGGTTGGAAAGGCGCAGACCCGCCGACGAGGATAGGCTTTTGAAAAATCACAGCTTCACCTTTTGCTCATCCTGGAGGGAGAAAATCAATTTCAAACCCCATCTACTGTGGGGAATATCTGTCCTGATAGCTGCCCCGAACCAGCATGAATCGCCCTGCCATCTGACCCCAGCAGCTGATGTATTTCGTTTTTCTTTTTTTGTCAACACCTCCTCTTGATTTAACTCCAAAGCCACGAACTCTTCCCCTCTTAACTCCCCAGACATTCCCCATGAATGGAAAGCGATGCCAGACCATCTGACGGACTTCGATTTAAGAGTCAACCAGACCTGTGTCTTGTCTGCATCCCAACCTGTCAAAGTCCTCGTCCGTTTCTACTGGAACTCAGCCAACCTTGCGTTCAGCAATCACATTAAGTAGGTCTCTGAAACAGGCATCTGTCGTCTTGAGATTTCCTCCCTTCTGCCTTTGAGGGTTTGGATCTTTTGGGTATGGGGTGCTTTGGGATCTCTCTTCTCCCGTCCCAGCTGAATCGTCGCTTTCTTGGAAATAACCCCCAAAGAAGGAATCTTCCCGACATAGAGAATATCCAGAACTAGACATGGATGCAAAGCAGTTTCCAATGATCTCTGTCCAGCATTAGCTTCTGAGCCGAGATCAGAAACTCAGATGGGAGAAAAGATCACCCCATACATCTGTATTAGACAAAACCCACTCAGAACCGACTCCCAGAGCTCTAGGGTAGGTCAAAAAACACCCCCCCCAAAAGTTCCCCCCCCTTCTCTGTGTGTGTTGTCAAAGATCTCTCCAGCGGGGGGAGCTGAACGACCGTGTTCGGCTCAGAGAGTGAAGAAAACACAGACACGTTCCCCTGCCCCTTCTTCACCACAATGTGAGCGATTTCACTCCGTGCGCTCTCTCTTTAATTTGCTCTCCTCGGTTCCCTACTGTACATATGTTAATAAGTTGTGGATTCAATACTTGGTGCCCGAGAGCACATTTTTATAAATGTCATTAAACTTTTATTGTTTAAAAAAAAAAAAAATACAGGCACCCAATCGGGGCTTATTTATATTTTTTCTGATCCTGGTTGTGCGTCTTACGTTTTCGTGTGTGTGTGTGTGTCTCTCTCTCTCCCCCTTCTCCCCGCTCATCTGTGAGAGAGAGAGTGTGTGTGTGATTGGCTGGTTTTCCAATCTCGACCCAGGACTGGCTGGCCCAGGGGTGGGGAATAGGACATGGGGCCTTTACCCTCTAGGGCAGAGGTGGCCAGCCTGAGCCGGGGCCAGAATTTACCCATGTACAGTGCCAAAGAGCCCCAGTAATACGCCAGCAGCCCCCCCATCAGCTCCTGCCCCCCGCGCCTCCTACCCCCCCCCCGCTGCCCTGCTGATCAGCGCTGTCTCCCTCCCCCCCCCCCCCCCCGATCAGCTGTTTTGTGGTGTGCAGGAGGCTCTGGGCGGCTGGGGGGAGGAGCGAGGGCACTGCAGGCTCAGGGGAGAGGGCGGGAAGGGGTGGAGTGGGGGCAGAGCCAGGGCTTGAGCAGTGAGCACCCCCCGGCGCACTGAAAAGCTGGTGCTTGTCGCTCCAGCCCGGGAGTCGGTGCCTAGACAAGGAGCCGCATGTTAACTTCTGAAGAGCCGCACGGCGCTCCGGAGCCCCAGGTTGGCCACTCCTGCTCTGGGGGGGCCCGGCCCTGCTCCAACCCCTGGCCAGGAGAGTAGCTTGCTCAGGGGGGCGGGAATGGGACATGGGGCTTTTCCCCTCTAGGAGGTGTTGGCCCAAGGGTGGGGGACCGGCTGGCTGGGGGGGAGGGTGCGGAATAGACCCCCCCCCCTCGAGGCGGGGGTCGCGGGCTCTGATCCGGCACAAGAGCTCATCACAGATCCCCGCCCTGCTGGTGGCAGACACGCCGGGGCTGGCTGGCGAGCCCAGCTGTTTAGAAGCGAAAGTGTCTCGCTGGGTGAAAGAGGAACCCCGGGGTCCGGTTACGGTCTCCTTGCGTCACCTCCTCCTGGCGAGCGGCGCAGGCCGGCAAGGTAAGAATCCACCTGGATCTGCCCTGTGCCCCCCCATGTGGCTGGAGCTGGGGGGGGGGGGTGAATTCCTGCTGGAGTGGCTGCAGCCACCAATGGATAGCTGCCTTTTCCCTGGACTGGGAGGGGAGGGGGAGTGGTTGGGCGGGGGGTGGGGCAGCCACCAGGAGCTGCCTGTCCTTTCCCTGGACTGGGAGGGGGGTGGGGGTGGGGGGGGGGGAGTGGGGGTGGGAGCGGCCTGGGTCCTAGTCCCCGGTTGGAGGGGAGGGGGCAGTGGGTGGGGTGGGGCTGGGAGCCAGGACTCCTGGGTCCTATTCCCCAGGTCTGGCAGGGGAGTGGGGTCTAGTGGGTGAGAGCGGGGGGCTGGGAGCC